TGTTTTTGTGCCAATACCATGCTGTTTTGGTTACTATAGCTTTGCAGTATATTTTGAAATCAGTGATACCTCCAGCTTTGTTCCTTTTTCTCAGGATTCCTTTGGCTATTTGGGGTCTTTTGTTGTTCTGTATAAATTATAGGATTCTTTATTCTATTTCTGTGAAAAATGTCCTTAGAACTTTGATAGGGCTTGCATTGAATCTAGAGATTGCTTTAGAGAGTATGGACATTTTAACTATGCTAATTTTTCCAATCCACGAGCTTGGGGTTTTCAGAGTACAGTCTTTCACTTCTTTGGTTAAGTTTATTCCTAGGCATTTTATTCTTTTTGTTTCCCTCATAAATGGGATTGTATTCTTAAATTCTCTTTCTGTTACTTCATTGTTAGTGTATAGAAATGCAACTGATTTTTGTATGTTGTCTCTCTATCCTGCAACTTTACCATATTCATTTATTATTTCTAAAAGTATTTTGGTGAGTTCTGTAGGATTTTCTATATATAAAATCATGTCATCTGCAAATAGTGACAGATTCACTTCTTCCTTTCCAATCTGGATCCCTTTTATTTATTTTTCTTGCCTGATTGCTCTGGCTAGGACTTCCAATACTATGTTAAATAACAGTGGTGACAGTGGGCATCGTTGTCTTGTCCCTGTTCTTAGAGGGATAGCTTTCAATTTTTCTCCGCTGAGAATGATATTTGCTGTGGATTTGTCGTATATGGCCTTTATTATGTTGAGGTGCTTTCCTTCTATATCCATTTTATTCAGAGTTTTTATCATAAATGGATGTTGTATCTTGTCAAATGCTTTCTCGGCGTCTATTGAGATGACCATGTGGTTTTAATTCTTCCTTTTGTTTTTTTGCTGAGGAAGATTCTCCCTGAGCTAACATCTGTGCCAGTCTTCCTCTATTTTGTTTGTTAGTTGCTGTCATAGCATGGCCACTGACGAGTAGTGTAGGTCCACACCCAGGAACTGAATGCAGGCCGCCAAAGCAAAGCATGCAGACCTTAACCACTAGGCCATGGGGCTGGCCCCTATTCTTCATTCTGTTAATGTGGTATATCATGTTGATTGATTGGCAGGTGTTGAACCATCCCTGCATCCCTGGAATGAATCCCACTTGATCATGGTGTATGATCTTTTTGATGTATTGTTGTATTTGATTTGCCAGTATTTTCTTGAGAATTTTTGCGTCAATGTTCATCAGTGATATTGGCCTGCAATTTTCTTTTTTTGTATTATCCTTGTCTGGTTTTGGTATCAGGGTAACGTTGGCCTCATAGAATGATTTAGGAAGCTTCCCCTCCTCTTCAATTTTTTGGAAGAGTTTGAGAAGGGTAGGAATGTTGGGTAGAATTCACCAGGAAAGCCGTCTGGTCCTGGATGTTTATTTTTGGGAGGTTTTTTTTTTTTCACATCTCTATTAATTATTTAATTTAGTAATTTAACTACCCCATTGCACAGGTGGGGAAAAGTGAGGCACAAAAAGGTTGTATTTTTTGTTTTTTAAAGATTTGTCTAAAATTAGACAGGGAAGCCAAGGTCATAACTACAATCAGAACTCTAGAGGCTTGACACCTTTGGGGTATAATGGATTCAAGATTTGCATGAAATGTTATGTTTAACTCACCTGTCCTATTTCCATCACACCATCTCAGTCTAACCTCTTGCACATGCTTTAAAACATGGACCTGGCAAATGCCACTATGACAAGATACATTAGCTGATGCTTGTCTAAAAAAAAGAATACCAATATTGTTGTATCATATGCAATTAGCAAGGTTCAATTATGAAAATATTCCATACTGAATTCCAATAACTTAAGAAACATTCCACAAAATTCTCTAAGAATTTTCCCTAAGTACCTAGCAATCCCCTCTAAAACAGAAATTTACGTATTCTTTAGGTTACTGTTGATGATCTGAAATTAAATGTATACAATCTCATAACTGGTAGCCTCAAAGTACTAAACTACTAAATAAAACTGAAAGGATCATCCAAGTTCCTAGATAATACCAAAATATTCATTTAGGATTATTAAATAAAGCGTAACACTTTGGTACCTTTCCAAGAAAAAAATCTTGAAGCTTATAAAGGTAAACATAAGCACGTAGCATTTTACATTGTATCAACTGCGTAACAGTGAACGGGTAAGGTGTAACCACTACAACTTCTCTACCAACTTTCTATCTTGAAATATCAAATCTGCCCCTACCAGCTACCATTCCAATTCCACAGGGTATTTTCCAGTGAGACAAGCTGTACAATGTTCTTTTCAAAACATTCCAGACCATTCCCATTTTCTTGAATTATAATATCCTGCTTTGTACAATGACCATGCTTTTCAAAACATTCCAGACTATTCCCATTTTCTTGACTCATAAAATCTTGCTTTCTATGATGACCATTCCCATTTTCTTGAATCATAATATCTTGCATTTTCTCTTTCTATTCTTTGTTTTATCCCTTCTCGTACAGATGAAACCAGTCCTTCTACTGACAGATACACAACACTGTTTGCTCCTAGATATTCTGCAAGATGTTCAAATTCTGCTTTATTGGCAAAAGCTCTTCTTTTGCTGGTATGTTTATTCCCATGAAGCATGGATATCTAATTGGTGGTGAAGTTACTCAAATGTGTACCTCTTTTGCACCAGATTCTTTGAGCAATTTGATTATGGGTGAGGTCATATTGTCTCTTACAATCCAATCATCTACAAGAACAATTCCTTTGCCTTTGAAGTTGTCTGACACTACTCCAAATTTTTTTTGCAACACTAAGTTGTCTTAACTTCATGTTTGGCTGAATGAAGGTTCTTCCTACATACCGGGTTTTACACAGCACCTCCACATAGGGAAGCCCACACCTTCCTGCATAACCAAGAGCAGCGGGTGTAGCAGATTCAGAACGGTGCTAACCAAATCTGCATCCACAGGTGGTTCAATTGCCAGCTGCTGACCACAACAGTACCTCACTGTATAAACCATTTGGATTTCAAATATACTATCTGGTCTTGCAAAATAAACATATTCAAAAATACAAAAAGCCATTGGTTTTCCTTCAGACCTTGGTATAGTATCAAGTGTTTGGACATTATGTCTGGATATTTTCACAATTTCTCCAGGTAAGACTTCACGGTAATATCTTGCACCAACAGATAAAAAGCTACAAGGTTCTGAAGATACCGCCCATCCTTCGGTTTCTGAAGAGTTTTTCTCTTTATCATTTATATCAGATATAGGAATAAGACGACCAATGCATAGAGGACAATTTCCATAAGGATCTCGTACTGCATAAATAACATCTCTGTGCATTATAAGCAGGGAGTATGCTGTAGGTGCTTCCTTCATTAAGTTTTTAATCCTTGCCACCCAGTCTGGGGTGTCATCTTGTTCCTGAGGTGAGGTATATGCCAGTAACTGGGTAATCATTTCCCTATCGGAACTTCTTGACAGACCAATACCATGACGCAGAAGCTTTTCCCTTAATTGAGCAGCATTTATCAATTCGCCATTATGTGCCACAGCTATTTTCCCCTTTGATTTCTTCATTGACCCAATAGTTGTTCAGTAGCATTTTGTTTAATCTCCACGTATTTGTCCCATCAAGTGGTTCAACAACAAAGGGCTGACAATTTTCTAATTCGCAGTTTCCTGTTGTGGCATACCTCTTGTGCCCAATTACAAGATTTGAAATATATAATTTCTTCAAATTGTCTTCAGTAAAGACGTGATTTACAAGACCCATTCCCGTGTGTGTTTTGAATGTTGGTACTGAATACCCATCACTAGTGACAATACCAGAACTCTCCTGACCCCAGTGCTGCAGCCCCACGAGTCCCCGAGTGGCCACTCTCCTGAGGCGATGCACCCGAACGTGCCACATTCCTCTCTGATCCCCAACTCCTCCAGCTCCATGTCGCTGCCAAAAGTGTGTGGAAGGACCTGCTGCTGCAGCAAGGATCTAACTCCCAAGGAACAGCTGCCCGCTGGGACGAACGCCCAAGGAGCTCATGCCTGCAACAGCTTATTCCTTCACTAGTTTTGGGAGGTTTTTGATTACTGTTTCCATCTCCTTACTGATGATTGATCTATTCAAATTCTCTATTTCCTCATGATTCAGTTTTGGAAGATTGCATGATTCTAAGAATTTATGCATTTCTTCTAGAGTATCCAATTTGTTGGTGTTTAGCTTTTCATAGTATTCTCTTATAATCTTTTGTTTTTCTGAGGTACCCATTGTAATTTCTCCTCTTTCATTTCTGATTTTATTTATTTGAGCCTTCTTTCTTTTTTTCTTTGTGAGTCTAGCTAAAGTTTTGTCAATTTTGTTTGTCTTTTCAAAAAACCAGCTCTTAGTTTCATTGATTTTTTTCTATTTTTTTTAGTCTCTATTTCATTTATTTCTACTCTGATTTTTATTATGTCCCTCCTTCCACTGATTTTGGGCTTTGTTTGTTCTTCTTTTTTCAGTTCCTTTAGGTGCACTGTTAGGATGTTTGAGTTTTTTGTTGAGGTAGGCCTGTATTACTATAAACTTCCCTCTTAGAACCACTTTTGCTGTATCCCATGAATTTTGGCATGTCGTATTTTCATTTTCATCTGTCTCTAGATATTTTTTGACTTCTGCTTTGATTTCTTCATTGACCCAATAGTTGTTCAGTAGCATTTTGTTTAATCTCCACGTACTTGTCGCTTTTCCAATTTTCTTCGCATAGTTGATTTCTAGTTTCATACCATTGTAGTCTTAAAAGATGCTTTGTATTATTTCAATGTTCTTAAATTTATTGAGATTTGTTTTGTGGCTTATTATATGACCTATCCTGGAGAATGTTGCATGTGCATTTGAAAAGAATGTGTACTCTGCAGTTTTTGGATGGAATGTTCTACATATGTCTACTAAGTCCATCTGATCTAATATGTCATTTAAGGCCAATGTTTCCTTATTGATCTTCTGTTTGGAGGATCTATCTATTGGTGTAAGTGGAGTGTTAAAGTCCCCTACTATTATTGTGTTACTTTCTATTTCTCCTTTTATGTCTGTTAATAATTGCTTTATATATTTAGGTGCTCCTATGTACCCCTGAACTTTCCATTGACATGGGCTGGTAAGTTCCCTTTTAAAATTAAACCAGTTTAAATTGTGCTTTATATCACTTCCAACTCAGAGTCCTGAGTGGTACAATCTTGACCTCTGAGCAAATGGGATGCAGCATAGCATGAGAGTGGAGTATGGGTTTGAGGAATTAGAGGAATCAAATACTTTTTGGAATTTTAAAAGTAGAAGTGCAAGAAAAGGAGAGTAGATCCTCCAGAAAGCAGGGAGGAGGGCTCCTGACTGGCATTCCAGCTCTGTACAATGTGTAGCTTGTTTGGATGAGCTTGTGCAATTAACATATAAAGGACATTGATATCTGCTTTGTAGAATCTCTATGAAATTGCTATTTGCCATCATGAAAAGAAGCCTGGACTGGGATTCTGGCAATGTAGGTCATAGTCCTGTCTCTGCCACTAGATTTCTGTGGGACCTTGGGCAAATTACACCTCCTCCCTGGCCTTCAGTGACTCATCAGTAATAGGAAGGGGTTGACAAAATGGTCTCAGAAAAGTTGTCCTTAATTCTATCCGACTTCCTAAGAAAGAAATTCTGCATGTGGCTGTGGGTGGAAACCTGGACCTGCTAAGACGGCAGAAGAAAGATGGTGAATCTGGGAATAGGAGGCACTTTGAAGCACATCATTTGGATCACCATATTGTCGGAAATGCAGAATTGTTGGAAAGCAGATTACAAGAGGGTAGGTCATGTTTCTGTTTGGGTTCTTTTTTCTCACCCTCTCACCCCAAATGGTCTGTAGACCCTAGCTGCCGTGGAGCTTGCCCAACATACACAGTGAATAAAAGTTCAGGGGCCATCCCCGTGGTCGAGTGGTTAAGTTCACATGCTCTGCTGTGGGGTCCCAGGGTTTCACCGGTTCAAATCCTGGGCGCAGACATGGCACCGCTTATCAAGCCATGCTGAGGCAGCATCCCACATGCCACAGCTAGAAGGACCCACAACTAAAAATACACAACTAAGTACCAGGGGGCTTTGGGAGAAAAAGGAAAAATAAAGTCTTTAAAAATAAATAAATAAATAAATAAATAATAATAATAAAACAAAAGTTCAGGCTCTGGAGTCAGAGAGATAAAGGTTCAAATCCTAGTTCTGCTGTGTATCTTTGGCCAAACCCTTAAATCTCTCTAAGCATCAGTTTCCTCTTCTGAACAACAGAGAATAAAAATTGTATCAAATAAGGATAGGCTGGGTTAAGCTTCAGTAACAATCATTGCCAAAATCTCAGTGGCTTGACGAAAGTTTATTTCTCACTCATTGTGGTAGGCAGCCTCTAAAATGGCTCCAGTGAGCCCTGCCTCCTGGGAGTCATGCTTTTCAAAAACCTCTGCTCTATGGGCTGGACCTAGGTTACAAAAAGATTGTGACTTCAGTGTTGCTTCTCTCTTCCCCTCCCCTCCCTTTCCTCTCTCTCCCCATCTCTCTGTCCCTCTGTCTCTTCTCTCTCTCTCTCTCTCTCTCAGAGAATTCACCCAGCATGTTTAAGTGGCCTTATGGAGAGGCCAGGGGACAAGGAACTGAGAGAGGTCTCCAGCCAACAGCCAGCAAGCAACTGAGGTCCAACAACTTGTGAGTAGCTAAGTCCTTCTAACAACCACGTGGATGAGCTTGGAAGCAGACTGTCAAGCCTTCGGATGAGACCACAGCCCTGGACAACAACTTGACTGAAACCTGTGAGAGACCTTGAGGCAGAGGTGCTCAGCTACACTGTGACAAAACTCCTGATCCACAGATACTGTGAGATAATAAATGTTTCTGACATACAAAAGCCTCTAAGTTTTGGGGTCATTGTTACATAACTACATGTCCAGTGTGGGTTGGGAAGGGGTGCTTGCAGGCACCCAGGCTGGTAAAGGCTCTATCTCAACACCTGTTTCCATGGTCACCATAACAGACGAGGAATTGCATGCTGGTACTTAAAACTCCAACTCAAAAGTGACACACACCACTGTTACTTGTGTTTCATTGGCCAAATGAAGTCACATAGTCACACCTAACTTCAAAGGGGGTGGAAGGAAAAGTAATGGAATATGTGTGAACAGCACTGATGATTCCCATAATAAAATCTGCCCTGAAGGATTGTTGTGGGGACAATGCATTAAACTGCTGTCTCAGGATGCTTGCAGCTACACGTGAGAGGAAACACCATATGAATGTATACAATAAAGGCTTAAACAACAAAGGGAATTTGTTGGCTCATATTTTTTGGCTACAGGATGGTCTCAGGTAAGACTGGATCCAGGGACTCAGTGATGCATAGGACTGGGTTCTTTCTGTCTCTCTTTTCTGTGTTTTGAGATATAAGCTTCATCCTAAGCCTTGCTCCCCTCAGAGCCCCAGGGTGGCTGCCAGAAGCCCCTCGGGCTGAGGCAGGGAAGAGAGTTCCCAGAAGTCTTCAGTTTGCCTATGATGGGATCAGCCTAAGTCATACACCACAGGTGGCCTGAGGGGATGGTGCTGGAAGGTCAGGATGGTTTCCCTAGGTCACTCACTCAGATCTCTAAGTCAGGTTCCCTGGAACTGTGTGGATCTCCAGATAGAAATGGAATGTGTGGAAAGGGTTCACACCAGTGCCTGACACTGTTTTCCCCCTTCAGGATTATCTACTATTCCTTTCTTTCAAGTCACTTCACTTGGTGAAGATATTTCAGTGACGAATCTGCAAACGTCTACTGGATCTGAAAATGCTTTGTAAATGGAAAAGGCTGGACAAAGGTAAGTGATCATTACGATTATTATAGATAAGCAGTGCTCAACTCAGACACACCAGGATCCTCCTTACTCACTATATTCTAGCTACACTGGCATTTTTTCTTTTCCAGAAACACACCAAGCTTGTTTGGGTTTTAAGATCATTACACATGGCTTTTGTTCCTCTTTGTCTGGAATTCTCTGCTCCCAGATCTCTTTTGACTGGCTCCTCTTCATCTCTCAGGTCTCAGAAGCATTTCTTGACCTTCTTATACCCCATCACCATGTTTTCTTTTCTTCATAACTACTGTATTACTATCTGAAGTTATTTTGTTTCTTTGCTTGCTTCTTGTCTTACTCCCCAAACCAGAACTTCATATCAGCAAGGCCTTCTGTCTTGTTCACAGATACATCCCCAGCATCTGGCACAGGACTTGAAACATATTAGACACAAAGTAATGTGTGTTAAAGAATGAAAGAACAGATGATTAAATATAGCATCTCCATCCACTGCTGTGCTGTTATGTGTCTCATACAATTGCCAGATTTTACAAGACTAGCTTTAAAAAAAATACAACTTAGAATATATTCAAGGTCACCCCTGTAACCATATCTCTTTCAGTCTCTTTTTCCTTGAGAGAAGGGTGGAGTGACTCTTAGCTGTTTTGAAATGAATGTAATTTGTATCCTGGCTCCTCTATACCACAATCCAGATGTTCTCCGTCTTTAGGGTGCATCAGAATTACCAGCAATGCTTGTCAAACTCAGATGCAGGGCACTATCCTCAGAGTTTCTGATGTAGTAAGTCTAGAGTGGAGTCTAAGAATTTGCATTTCTAGGAAGATCCCAGATGCTGCTGCTGATGCTGGTGGGGGAACCACACTTGGAGAACAGCTGCCACAATCTAAATAGGCAACAAATTTTAAAGTATGATTAGTGGGTGTGGCTATTTTGAACTATTGTAGTGCTTTACTTCTCTGCAACATTTTTGGCTCTCATTAAAATCCAAATACATTCATGGAAATGTCCTATAAATTAAATTATGTCTTGTGTGTTCCAAGAGATCAAAGACTGAGGACCAAAGGCTGCCATAGAGCATTCAGGGTCAGTTCCATTTTAGAATGCATGTGTTAAAGTCATTCATCTAAATACGTCCCAAATTCACCAATTTATTTCCATCTCTACTTGCAAGGTACAATTGTTATTATTATATTTCATGTTGACTACTGCAATAGCTTCCTAAATGGCTCTCTGAAATTATCCAGGTGAAACCAGACAATCTTTTCTAAATGCAAATCTGATCATGCTACTGGCTTGCATAAAACTCTCATTGGCTTCCCAATCTTCTCAGGGAAAAGTCTAGTATCTTTCACACAGCTTACTTGATGTGGTCCCTATCTACCTTGCAGCCCCATCTCATACCACTCCCCTCCAACCACCAAGACCTCTTGTCGATTCCTCAATCTCAGATAGCATGTTACCTCCCAACACAGGGTCTTAGCACCTGTTGTTCTCTCACTTAGGGAAATTTCTTGCCCCTTATCCTATTGACTCCTACTTTTTCTACAGAGAGCAGTTTGTGTCATTTCCTCAAGAAAGCCTTCCCTCTCGCTCCCAAGCTAAGTCAGTTTCCTCTGTTGCATGATCTTATAGAACCTTGTTTCATTCCTTCAGAGCACTACCCCTTTCTTCCAGGGTCTGTCTTTGTTCATTATCTGCAGAGAAGAAGGATCAACACTGTTTTTACTCACCAGCGTATCTCTAGTGCCTGGCACAGCACATTGTATTTCAGGAAATATGTGTTGGATAAAATTTAAGATGCATGTTTACTTACTCAGTCCCTACTATGCTCCGCACCCTATGCTAGGCCCAAAGAGGGTACAAAGATGAGTAAGACGGATCCTCGACTTCAAGGAAGTCCAAGCCAATTAAGAGCAATGGAGACAAATTTCTGCAACAGCATAAAAGTGGCTACATGAGAGGAACAAAGCTCTTCTGGGTGTCAAGTGGAGGAGGGACAGATCAATTCCAAATGGAGAAAGCAATTCATTCAACATATCTCTTGAATGAAGATATAGTTCTATATGCTGGACATTGTTCTAAACGTTTTATGTGGTTGAGGTCATTGTAAGAATTTCAAAGATGGCGAAAACAAAGGAAAGGACGAGCAAATAACGTGCCCAAAGTCACACAGCTACTAAGTGTTAGGAAGGGGATTTGAACCCAGGCTGCCTGCCTGCTCCAGAGTCTGTGTTCTACTACCCACAGGAAGAACCTCATGGAAGCAGTGGCAATTAAGCTGGGGCTTGAAGGATTTGCCAGGTGGAAAATGGGGCGGCCATTCCCAGCAAAATCCGGAAAATATGTGCCTAATTATGAGTTTAGTTTCTTCCTTTGCCCCTGTCCCCATTAAATAGAAGTAGAGTTTTCACAGGAGCATAGAGTGAAGAAGGAAGGAAAATAAAGCTAACTTCCGGCTACAGGGAGTAGCGAAACTGTTCCCATGGAAACAGTAACTAGTTCCCAGGTGGGTGAGATCTCGCGGTGTTTGAGCCGGCGGAAGTGACGTCGTGCCGCTCTGGAGGCTCTCTGCTGGAGCGCCGCGGCCCCTCCTCCCAGAGCGGCCCCCTTTTCCCGCGCGAGCTGGCTGTGCTACTGGGGCCGCCCGGGGGAAACATGGCGTCTGCCTTGGAGCAGTTCGTGAACAGTGTCCGACAGCTGTCGGCTCAAGGTGAGGCCCTGGGCCGCCGGGCTGGGCCTGGGAGGGCCCTCCGGGCCGCGGGGACGGGCCTGCATCCCCAGCCGCCAGCGCGGACGGCTGGGTCCGCCCCATGGGTGCCTGGCCTCGCCTGCGGGGCTGGGCTGGGGGTTGCGGCTCGTGGACCAGGGCGGGACGGGCGCGACTGAGTTTGACCAGCCCTCTCGCGCTCCAGAGCTCCGATGCCCGCCCCCGGCCCGTGCGGTCGGCGACCCGGCCGCCTCCCCTCCCTGGGGCTGCCGGAGCCTCCTCCCCCGGCCGGGCCCCTCCACCGGGCGCTTCGCTTGACAGTTTGGGGGCGGGACTTCCGCCGAGGCCTTCCCGAGCGCGCATTGGTCCCTGCGGCCTCCCTGCCTGCGGTGATTGGTGCGCCGGCCCGCCCGTCCCCGCGCCTGGCCGCTCCGGACTAGGCCGCGGACAGCGGCGCGGGCGAGTCCTCTCGGTGCCCTGGCTGGAGGCTCGCCTTGGCCGGCCGTCGGCTGCCGGCCTGAGCGCCCATTTTAGTCCTGCGGAATGTCGAGGGAGCTCTCGCTCGTGGGGCTCCGTCTAGGGTAGAATTGTGACCATTTTTGCTTCGCCCTCAGCTTTCATGCCGTTTGGCTCGTTGACCTCATCGCCTGAATATAGAGCCCTGGACTCAGAATTAAAGTAGTTAGCTGCTGGCTCTGAAGGCCCCTTTAACCACCCTGTTTCCTCATCTGTAAAATAAGAATAAGTCCCCAGTTCACAGAGTTAGGATTGGAGGAGAGAAGCCGCGTAAAAGCACTTGGAACGGTGCCTATCATGTGGGTGCAGTAAGTACAGTTACAAATCATTGCTAATGACCGTTACTTGTCAAGTTGATCTCGATTCTCTCTTCACCTGGAAGGCGGAGAGGCCCTGTCGACCTCGCTGTAGTAAGGCTTAGCGGATCTGATATGGAGCCTGCTTAATGAAATGCTCCTCTCTCATTTCCCTTATTATTGATAGAAATCAGGCTCACAGGTACGCCATAGACTTGCCGTGTCTATGAATGAAGAAACCATTCATTCACTCATTTATGCCACAGACTCTTAGTTTCTGCTTCCTGGTATGTAGCCTGGTTAGAAGATTGGATTGGAATCCTCTCCCAGTCACTTCGTGTGCAAGCCACTTAATATCCCCGGGCCAGTTTTCTCATTTACAGAACGGAAGGAGGGCTGTGAGCATCAAGTGGGATTACTCATCTGAAAGCTTTGTATGTATGCTCTGTGCAAGACACTGCTTTAGGAGCAGTCTACAAGGCAGTGAAAAATATCCTTTCACTGCCCACGGCCTCTGTGCCTCACGTTCACTGCATAGAAAATATTTGAGTTTATAAGTGCTCTTCCTCGGGATTTTCTAACGTAGACCTTAAGTGAAGGGAGTATCATAACTTCCAGCTTTTACTGATTAGAGGACATTTCATTGACCACATCTCTGGCTGGGCTCATTTCAAGTGCACCCTGTGGCACTTAGACTTACTTATGACTTTCCCCTTGGTCCTGCACTAGTTAACTCTCTTATGATTTGATAGTGACCCAGCTTTTATTTTGTCTCAACTCAGCATTGGTTATTTAACTGGGGAAAAAATAATGAACTGAAATGCTTATTTTTGGTTGCTTCAGATCACTCTAAATGTATTTAAAGTAGAGGGTTAAAAAAGGGGGCACATCATTTAACTGGAAGAAGCTGTCTATTTCATAGTGAGCTCTATAATAAAATAATGGTGAATTGGTACTTCTCAGTTCAACTTATGTCATTATCTTGAAAGATGATACCTAATACGAGCATAGATTTTTTTATTCTTGTTTTCCAATGCGGGTGATAAAGCAGGATTTCCTTTGTTCTTGTTAAAATTTATGAAATTTAAAAGTATAGTATAAAAGCCCCAGAAATTAAATTATCAAAGTTCCCAGCTACAGTTACTTGGATTTTAAGCATTATAGTATTTAAAGTGTTTT